GGGGGGAGCAGGGGGTAGGGGTGTTTTTTGTGGGTTTTTAAGAGTTTCCTAAGCCATCACACCACAAAGCAGTCATTGATCACCCTAAAAACCTGTATCACTACCGAGTATAATCTGGCAAACATCTTCAATTCCAAAATGATGACAAGGCCCATATTTGTAAATTTGCAGTGGTGTATTCTTAAAAGTGTCATAAAGGTGCATTTTGTAGTAGTTTACATTATAACTGTTTTATAATATAAACCAAACAGAAATTTTGTTACCACAGTTGTGTGTTAGGCACCAAACCAGGAACAAAAGCTTTACAAAATTAATTCCTGGTTCTTTTAAACAGTTCTTCCGTAACTCGGACAAGCTACTGTAGATCCGTTCAAACAACCCACACGAATCTGAAAATTGTATTTACTCCCAAAAAGGACTCAAACTTCTATGTGCCTCAGTGCCTTATCTGTAGGGAAGGAATATTATCACCTATAATTTCACCATAAACTAATTAGCATATGATTAATGGTCAGATAATAATATGGAGAGAATTACCTAATAATATTACCTTGAAAATAAAGTTGCTGTAGATGGCAGGAATAATTTACTATTTCTCGTTACATTTAAAACTACTAAAAAAAGACACACTTTAACAACAACAACTATTCATCAACATTCAACTGAATCGCATTACCTGGAATTAAAAAACTATAGAACTTTTCCATGAGTTTTTGAATTAGCTGATTAGCTTTTTTGGGTCTTCCACCTCCATCACTGAGAAACTCTGGTTTACTTAGCCCAGCTTCCAGAAGGTAAATGCCAACCTGTGAAATGGTTATACAGTTAATCATTTAATTAACTGTTAGAATGACAAGAATATTTTAAACAGAGGAGTATGAAAATAACAACAGTGCATTGAAAATTAGCAGATGTAGACAGATATCTACTAAAATCACCACATAGAGGATACAGTACATTACAGCTAAAAGCTTCTGCGATTCTTTTGGGCAATGCATTACTAATGGTCCAACAGTAAAAAGAAATTTTTAGGTAAAAACACACTGAAAACATAAGCATGTAGAAATGATATATTTTCATCACATTCTAAAAATATATGGTAGCTGCCAGACTTTGTTGTTCAGAGGTTTTTACTTTATATTTCAAACAAAAAAGAAGAACTTTTAAAATGCAAAACAAATATATGAACCCATACCTTTAAAGCCTGAGCCTCTCCAGGTCTTTGATAAAGTCCAATTATCTTTTTCTTTTGCAACCATCTCAAGCCTTCCAATATTTCACCACCTAGAGTTGGTTCCACCAAAATACGTTGTTCATAAGCACCCAGGTATTCTTTTGTCTCATTACTGTGCTCTTCTTCACTTCTTTCATGAAAACAGACCTGCAGCTGATCATCAGAATCTCCTCTCATCAAAGTAAAGCTCCTTTCATGGAATTTGTCAGTTAGAATTTGCTCGGAAGGAAGATGAAGAGCAAATTCTCCCAACAAAGCTTTCCAGCACCCATCCGCACGGTACGGCAACACCATAATATTTAGCTGTACTGACACAGGAGTCAAGATGGAATACGAGTCTTCTTCATCGTTAACTGTCAAAAATTTAACAGATTTTGAGCCACTGCCTTCTTTCTGAATTAGATCTTCATCAGTGCTATCATCATTTATAACAATGAAGGATGCAGAAGTGCTCGGACCTGGAACGTGGTCCTCATCAGTCATTTCATCATCTAATGTTATCACCTCATTTCTCCGGTCTTCATGCATATTCCAGCACAGCTTTTTCTTCTTCTCCTCATCTATTTTTGATGGAGGTGCACGTTTTCGACGACTACTCATTTTGTCGTCTCCTCAACAGTATTTTCAGTCTCTGCAAGATAAAGTAAATTAGTCAGCAATAAGTATTACAAAATCAAATGCCCACACTGAAATTTCACTGTGCAGTAGCTGCTAAACTTGCAAAAGGTTTGGACACAGACGTATGCACTAAGACATCTAACTGTTCAAAAAAGACTTAGTTTTACAGAGCCTCTCCTGTCCCTGTGCCATCACACAAAACTGGACATGAAGCATTTGCCTTGTATGGTATCTTACCATTTTGCCAGACAGCTACAGAGTTCAACAAGAATGCTATATGTCACAGCTGTTACTCAGAATCTTGTGGGACAGATATAAAATGAGAAGCAGTGGAATCCCTCAAAGGCGGGGGTGGAGGGAGACGGCAAAAGAAACTCCACAAACAGAAGTGCAGGAGGTACAGGAGATTCGGGGGCGGGTGCAAGGAAGATGTACGCACAGAATTCTTCCTTCCTTTCAAAGCCTACATTGAGATGAAACTTTAAGCAAACTTGACACAGGGCTAGTCTGAAGCTGCCATTACATAAAATATGGTTTAGAGCCTAAGCTATCAAGTTCTGCCCTTAGAAGTCCCTAATGACCTTCCTACTAGTAATGAATACTTTATTTTCCCAGGAAACTGTGCATCCTGGGACCTGGATATACAAATTGTTTGCAGAGGAGCCCTTACTTATTCTATTGTGCATTTCAGTAGGACCAATGAGCAAACTAAATGCACAGTCTTACTTATTTTGACTAACTGCAAGGCTAAGTCAAGATACATGTCCAACTCCTCAACTAAACCTGGGCAGTGAACAGATTTTGTGGATAAAATACTCAAAAATGGAGTACACATGCTAAACAATACACATGAAGCAGCAGCTTATGGAATATTAGACCTATCTGGGAAACTAGTAACTACATACTCAAAACTACATGCTCATACTTCAATACTCAAAGAAGTAGTAACATTTTTTTTAAAAAAAAAAATAGTGTTTTCATAAGGAGCCTGAACACAGCAATAGATTTATGAGCTCATATTACAGCACTGTCTTTGTCAGCAAAGACAGGAAAATATCTAGATATCCATGTATGCTTCTGCATACAACTTTTAAAGAATGTAGGAAGATAAGAGACAAATATTCTAAGCTACTAAATCCACTATCCTGCATCCTACTATTAAAGGGGCTTATGCTGGAACAGGGCAGAATTCTGAATAATTTTAAAAGGGTCTTATAAAAAAAAAAAAAAACCACCCTAAATTTTATAATTCATGAAAATCAAAAGAAACATTCGGGAATATACAAATCTTGCTATGTTTGAATTTCAAACACAACAGAATTAACGAAAGGAAACGTGGGTTTTTCAAAATAACACTCATGCACAGAGAGCGTTGCTGACAGTAAACAAAGCAAACCCCAACGGCGAGCACACGTATCGTAACACTGCACTTCAACCAAAGAAAGGAGGATTCCCGCATCACCAGGTCTTGCATGTGCACACCGACTTCAGCACCACGCTCTAACGTATAAACGGGAGAACTGCTCTGCTTGAGCAGATCTCTTCAAAACTCCTACGGCCGGGAGACGACGGTGCCTACAACGTGAAGCAACAAACCTGCCAACAGAAGCACCCGAGCAACCCGCGGCGGTCTGGGAGGCCACCCAGCGTCGATGCCGGCGCTGCCCCCGGGGCCGCTGTA